GATATGTTTGAGCTACTTAGAGATGTGTCTAAAAACTATTCAGCAAGAATAGTTGACAACAATCTCTCAACTGATCAATACTATTACAGAATCAAGTTACAAAAACCAGATTCATGCTTTGAGTTCACTCATCCACAGTAGTTGCAAAGATTAATAAACAGTTCATCACTTCAAATCCCAAACTACAACCAATGCTTGATTGAAGCTCAGAGCATATCAACTGCTGTATACCCTAATAAGGGCCAATAATCAAATCTACTGGTTTCATAACAGTATAGAAAACAAGAGAACAAAACACAGGTATCCTGGGGAACAGTCCTAGTTCTATACTGTAGTGCTATGGAAGTGCTGAGGGATACTAATTCATCTTCAACAGGTCTACCCTGCAGCCCTAGCCTAAATTAGCTGTCCGATTCTCAGGTGGGCAGAAAGTAGGAAGAAAGCCTGATGGAACAGGTCTTCATCTCCTAACCTTTATTGTCAAATATCATTCTTCTACTTGTCAACTAGGATTCTTACTGTACCCTCACTTCTGGAACTGAAATAGTTCAAGAAAGATATTGTTGAAAGGCTAACTGAAGCGTGTAGAAAACTCTGAAATTAATCCACCTACAGTTAAATATTAAGGCTATTTCCATTCTATCCAAACCAATTTATTGCACAGAGCCAAGCTAAATCACGTAAAGTGACTAGGTGTTCTAGACAAAAGTCAGCACAACAGTTTTTAAAGCTATAGAAACTACCTTTGCTCTCTAATCTAAATTTATTCCAGTAAAACTAAGTTAAAAATAAAAAGAATGTCTAATCCTACCTAAAATGAAAAGGCAATTTTCCTTTCAACACAAATCTTTAAAAGACCATAAAAGTCTGAAGTTAAAAATCCCATAGTTAGCAGATAATAAAATTTTACCATACCATCCTCCAGAGCTGACACAATCTGCAACCTCTAAGCAGTAAAACTAAGTAAGATACTGTATTCAGTTATATTCTTCCAAGCAGGCCTAAAATAGGCACTACTGATTTCACTCTCTGACCAGGATAACAATTTTAAAGCTTACGTTCTGAAAACAACATTTAGCTATGATGTAGCAAAACACTATGCCCTTGCTCTAAAAATAAGTTGTGGACTGCAAAGAATGAAGTACTACCTAGATCTCAGCACTGCTAAGTGACCTTAGAATACAGCTTCCTATGAGTTTAAAAAGCTCTCTCTTACATTCTTTCCTTGATTATACCATTTTATCCACAGCAAACTCAATTATGGAAATAATTTGAAAAGCTCTGACAGAGATTTTTTTAGCTAAATCTGTTCTCAGATTTTAGAAGGAATTTCCACAAAGGAGTCACGAATTCCAGTCCATCTAATATAGCACTCCTTGGCGATACACTGGCTTGTACCACTGTTAAGCTATACCCTAAGGAATATCTTAACTAAGGATATTAGTGTAAGTAACACAGAAGTTATGACAAAATCCTCTCTAATTTCCTAGTTTCCTTTAATCATCCTTTAACAGGCTGCCTTTTGTAATTTCTCTAAACCATTCTCAAATGCGTATTTTCATTCTCTAATACATTTTGGGGACATTAAGTCCCCCATTACTATCTAAATTACATAGAGCTGTAATTTCCCCCTCTATTCCAAATGTAGTTTTAAAAACTACAAGGAAGTATGGATTATATTATTCCTCCATCTCTTAAAGGTACTCAAGGACTTGATGTGAGTGATTGTGACCCGATGAGTGTTTACCAGTCCATATTTCTTAATATTTTAGGCATGCCATGTCTTTGCAAACCAAAGCATGTCTTTAAAAATAGTCTGTTTTGTTTGACAACACTGTCTTCTTCTAATGATACATGGATGTCAATTATTTTAAAAACAAAGAAACTGAGGAGAATTATAGGTCAAATGGTTGACACAACATTTTTGAATCTGCAAATCTTATAATACTAAATTTAGTGGGGGTCCTGTAGGTAACATTTAAAAATACTTAGTTTGGGTTATGAAGTTTTATACACACACACACTTTAATTTCCAAGTATTTCCTATCAGTCTTTAATCACCCATTCTCTAAGTTTGTAAATGCATTATAAAATAGTTTTTTAAAGTGATAAAGGTTTCTTTTGGTCAGCATTGACAATGGGTTTACATAGAACTTTTCTGCTCATTCACTACTTGATTATCAGCCTTTAATATGATTAGTTAATTATAGTAATGTACATCAATGTCACTGGTATTGAATACTATTTAAGAATTAAGAAATGTAAGGTAAGTGTCCTGTCTTCAAAGAGCTTAAAATATAGTTGGGGGGGCTACTATAAAGAAATAAGATGATTGGTACAACTTACAAAATGAGTCATAATTTTCATTCCTGAAGTATGACTCTCAAGTTAAAACAGTATGTGAAAATAATGAAAAATAACTCAAAGGTGGCACATGATTATGTGAGTTCAAAAAAAATCTTTGTTTCAAAAAGATTCAGAGAGGGAGGGGAAAAAAAGACCTTGAAAATCCCAGAAGCTACAAGAGTTAAGAGACTCAGATGTTAGTCCTAATTCTACCAAATTAACTGAGTTAATCCTACCAAAAACTGGTAATGCTGGGCAAGTCACTACCTGGGACTTTACTTTTTCAAGGTTGGATTCATACCTATGTGCTCATCTCCTACCAGAAACTTGGAGCCTTTCAGCAATAGGGAGTTCTGCTTCCCTATTTAAATAAGAAAAATGTGGTTATTTTTTCCTATCAAACTAAAAATATGGTTAAACAAACATTGGTGGAGAGGGAGCCACATCAGTAACAGTGCTATGATTCAAGGAACAGATCACTTATATTATCACTGTCCTCCTTGTTATGCTTATTCTAGTTTGCTGTCCATTTTTCCTTTCCCCAAACAAGGGAGCCTAACTCTCCTCATATGACAAGTCTCAACAAATGCACAACTCTCACAGAATTTAGAAAGCTAAGGTAAAATAAAATTGAAAATATTTCATACATCACTGTAAGTATTCTTTATTTAGGATGGGAAGTTGCCATGTAGGCACCTGAGATTTCCAAGTTATGAGGATCCTCACTCCTAAGTTACAGTTAGAATCTATTTCTGAAGCATTTAATGAAAAATCTTAGGTGTAAAAGGGTATGTGTTGTATGAAACCTGAAAACAAGGAGGTTGGCAGAGCAGGTTTCTACAAAATAAACAATGATTTCAGACGCATGAGAAAATGACTGAAACAATCAATGGTGGCCAAGGAGATTAAATTTACAAATTTAAATGAGTATAATCTTGCTTCAAATTATGGTATGGGAGTGTTAGTGGCAACGACTTTGTGGTTTTATTTTACTTTATTTTTTAGCTTGATAAAATAGAACACTTCAGGGTTATAAGAGGAGGGATAAAAACTATGTAAGATGTTAAATTCGATTAAGTGATGGGAGAAATAGAAAATAAAGACACTCAAAGAGTCTTTGCCCACACACCAAGGCTAAGCAGAACATTTTCCACAATCTCTATTGATATTATGGTTTCCTTTATAAAGTGGGATCAATCCATACTGAGAACTACTCTAGATAGAATCCTAGGGTCCAGCATTTAAATGGTAGTAAGTGTAAAATAATCTAGAGATTTTTTCTACAGCACCAACACTCAAAACTGACAGTATTCTGGGTGTACAAGTTACATTCTTTAAGGAAAAACTCCCATCTTAGAAAATACTTCCTTACTGTGATAGCATATAGTGTCTGCTTTTCAAATCCAGACTGAAATCTATAGCCTCATTTAATCAATGCACTTTTTTTTTCCACGCTAAGTACATGTCATTTTTTTGGTGCCAATCACAGTTCCAGGCTGGTGTTTCCGTTCCAACTAAGCCAATTCCTACACAGACTTCCGGTTGAAAGTAGATTTAGTCCTTAGACTGCCACACCCAAAAAAGTCCTTACTCTTAGCACTCTACAAAGACAATTAGTTGTCAGGGTTCACTTGCCAGTAAAGCCTTTTGAAAATGAAAGCTTTTCTGGTTAACTTTTATCGAAGGCCTTCCAAAACATGAAACAAATAATTTTAAGAAATAATCACTTTCTTTACATATAAAACTTTTTTCACTCAAGTTAAAATCTCAACTGAACGCCTATGTTCTAAAGTTCTATGAAAGGCTAATACAGGCTTTCATATACCAACTCAACTACTTTAAAAGGAAACACTCGGGCAAACTGATTTAATCCAGTCTTCACCCAAAAGAAACACGGTGTTGTAGTTTGGAGTTACTCTTAAGCTGCAAACTAAACGCTAAAAGCCCCCTTTGTTCAAATGTTACTTTTTAAAAAAGTTCTAAGTACTAGAAAATGATGCTGAGCTGAGGGATACATGCTAATTTGAATTGGTTATTCCTACCAAACGTAGCCAGAGCCGCAACAAGAGCTGCATCAGGGGGACACCAGGCTACGGTTTTTGCGCAAACTTTTATTGAACCCGGCAAGTTTACGTTAGAAACTAAACATAGTCCCAGAGTCAGAGCAGCGGGTCTCGGGTTTCGCGGGCCCGGCTGTCGCCCAAGTTCGGCGCCACCGAGCTAAGCCACGCTTCCCTGAGCTCCACGTTTGGACAGCGGAGCAAAGTTCACGCCTGGGCCACTTCCGGCAGCAGCCCTCGAATCTGGGAGCGGGCCCTCGGGCTGGAACCGGGGCACCTCCCGGTACACCTGCCCAGGTGTCCTCCCGCCGGCGGCCGCCCTCGAGACGAGCCCCCGCGATGGGCTCCCGCGCTCGACCGCGAGCTCCACTCACCCAGCAGAGCCACGAGGATCCGAACACTTCAGTAACCCCCGGCTGCCTTCCTACCGCTACCACCACTCTTTTACTCCTAGAGCCGCTACAAACCAACACTTCCGGCTCCGCTCAGCAAACCGGAAGGAAGCCTAGTCCCCATTTTCGGCCACTGAGTGAGCCTGACTTAACGGAAAGGCGATGGAGGGGGTACTGGCCAGTGTGCTCAAAGGACTCGACTTTGACCGAGCGCACAAAAAGGAAGTAAAAAGTGGAACACTCAGAACATAGAAGAATGTGTGACAGTTTGTTGGGTCCGATGACTAAGTTTCCATCTTTTCTATGTCTTCTCTCGCAGTGTAAGTTTCTCTTCCCCCCTTCCTATTGGCAAATGGGTGAGTCTGTCCTGCGGATTTCCTCTCCGCACATTCCAAGGCAAGACCAGGGGCGGGGCTCGTTAAGCCCAAGTCCTTGTAGGGAAATCGCGGAGCGGGCTGCACGGCCCACGTGACTGGCCCAGCCCGGCTTCGGAGCGCAGGGCCCTGGCAGCCGGGCCGTCGTGCGCCTGCGCGGGAGGCTCCCAGCACGCCCGGCGGCTCCGCCTCGGGGCTCCCAGGGTGCACGCCTACGCTTGAGGGGGCCTTTGGAAAAGCGAGTGGAAACCTGCGCCTGGTTGTTTTGCAGCGTCCCACTCCTTTCGCCCAGAGGCTACCACTGTGAAGTCCCAAGAGATAGCTCATTGGCCCTGACGGATTTCATAAGGTCGTGAGGAGCTGAAAGAACAGCTTTTCAAAAAAGTTTGCTCTTGTTTTTTCCACCTGAGCCCCTCTGGCCCTGCTTATCAAGGAGAGCCTGACTGGATCTGACTTGGAAGAAAGACGACCAGTCACAAGAGCTTACGAAATTTTAGTGAACCTCCTGCCTCTGTGGTAGTGCAGACTTGTGGCTTAGTGAGAAAAGGAGTAAAAAGTGGGGTCTATTTTTTTCACAGCTCTCCTTGCTTAGGATAGCTTCTAACAATGCATCTTGTTAAAGGAAAGCCTTCCCTGATTCTATTTCTGCCCAAAATCTGGTGAGGAGGACTAAGGTACTGGTCACCTCAGCTGTCTGATCTAGTCTGTGACAGGAGTGACTTGGATCCGATAATAGTCAGACCATCGGCATCCTGGCGCTAAGGTTCAGTGCCTACTTTGGCTCATGTGGCCAGAGCAGTTGTGAAGTTTGGGGTTGCCTGTGGTCCTTGCTGTAAAAGCTGCTCTTGCTTGTATAACCCTGCTGAGAAGGAAGGTAAAAGCTGCAGAATAATATACTCTTAAGTATAAATAAGCTGTACCTTTGAGGACCTCAGGAGCATTTCATCTATTAACCATGTTCCAAAGTACAGTAAAGTCACTGAAAAAATACCTGCCTTAATTCTGTAGCATGACTGAAACAAAGATGATTAGCTTCCTAAATTCCCTTGACAGTAAGAACCACGGGGAGTACTATTTAAAAATACAAATGATTGGATGCCCTGTCTCCAGCCCACTGAATCAGAATCTTCTAGTGCAGGTTCTGGGAAGCCATTGATTTAACGGGTCCTAAGTGGCTCATCACAAAAGGTGGGGTCACAGAGCAAGACAGCTTAGGGCCTGTGTTAGGAAGTGACAGCAGAAACTCCTGGTGGTTGAGTGGTGGGGTACTCCAACCTGTTCTTGGAGTTTGGCTGGGGCGGTAGAGCAAGCATACTGCAGTGCACATGTACTTCCACAGAGTGGTAGCCTGCCACCACAGAGTGCTCGAGTCTTCCATACTGTCCTCCCCTTCAGAAAGAAAACCAACCCATATCCTGTATTTTACATGAGCTAAGGAGAAGTTTTTCAATGTATACTTTTAATAATAATAAAATAAAATCATCATTATTAAGCTAGGCATTCTGCTAAGTGTTTTATTAACATTATCTCTCAGTCATAAGTGGTTACTATCACCTCCATTTTACAGATGAAGAACCTGAAGCTTAGAGAGGTTAGTAACCTGCCCAAGGTTATATTGTGGGGTAGAGAAGAGGCAGGAATCACAGAGGCCTCTATGCTATGTTGACTGATGAGCATGCTAATTATTGATAAGAGTGTTAATAATTTGGAGTGGGAATATTTACCCCAAATGTTGACTTATTTCTTTGTTCTTCATAGGAAAAGAAACTCTGTTTCTGACACACTTTCCAGCAAGGCTTAATTCCACTGAAAGCAGTGCCTTGGAGAAAATACCTGCTTTGCTAGCTACCTGTAAGTGTATTACAGCTTTTGATTATGAGTTCTTTTTTCCTTTGGAGAAATAATAGTAAATGAAAGTAATTTCTAAGGGCAGTTTCGGTTTCATGTATCTTGTCAACATTTAACACAGAACACTCCTTTTGCATTATCCCATGGAGTGCCAACTCAGTAAGGCATTAAAGCAGTGTGCTGGTAGCGCTCTCCGGTGATCCCTGAAAGGCCAAAGAACCCGAGATGAAGTTGGAAGGGGCCTTACCTAGGTCAGTGTTATTCAGTGTCTTACTGCGTTCTACACACAAAGTATTAATTGCTTCAGGAAGAAGAGCCATGGTATGAAGGTGAACATACTTGGTAAAAATGTCTGTATTCCCAGTACCTTGCACAGTGTTCGGCATATGGTGGGTGCTCAATAAAACCTAAGTTAAAACTGTAAACCTTATTCAAGAACTTTGGGGCAAAGATAGCAGAATAAAGTACGGGAGGTTTAGGAAGTGGTTAAGTGATAAAAAGAGTGAGAAAAGGAGTTTCTTTGTTGAAATGCAACCAGATGGATGTTCTCAAACTTTTGCAGAACCCTACTAGGTCCAGAATGAAAATTACCTGGGTGCATAGATAGTTGTAGGCGCCAGATTAACCAGGGACATGTTAGATCTTGTTTGGATATACAGGCCCAATAAACATTATTGTCCAAGACAGGGGAGAACAATGAAGAAAATCTTTTATATTGGTATATTAATTCTATTTAAACTCTTTTCATATAAGATGTCTTAGAATTTAATTAAAATAATATAATAATGACATGAAATTTATACTGTATAGCAAAAACAGTGTGTGTGTATGTGTGTGTGTGTGTGTGTGTAAACTAACAGCATCCTTATCTAATGTAAAGTCCTTTACATGGCTTTAAAACATTACAAATATTATAAAGGAATAAAATTCAAACCTCCAAACTACTTATTATTCAATTTAAAAACAGGAAAGTTGGCCAAGGAATTCAAATATTAGTAGAAATAGATTCAAAACTATAGGGCTCAACACATGACTTCCCAAGCATAATAAACAACAGAGGAAGAAATAATTGTGTATGAAATGTAGTTGAAAATAGAATATGAAAAGTGAGAACAATAAACTTAGATTAAGCTCTCCTAGCATATAACATGATAAATTGTAGGTGAGTTCTTAATAAGTATAAAGCACAGTAATTTGAGTGAAATAGAATTGTGTGAATATTTTAGTTGGGGAGAAGAATAACTTTAAAATGGTGTTGACTACGGTATCGTTGGCATACAGTAAACCACATATTTAAAATGTTCACTGTCATAATTTTTGACATGTGTACACTTGTGAAATCATTACCACAATCAAGATATTGAACATATCCTTCACCCCCAAGGTTTCCTCACACACACTTGCAATCCATCCCTCCCAGCTCCCCTGCCCCATCACCCCTTGGCAACTGCTAATCTGCTTTCTGTCACTATAGTTTGCACAAATATAGGTTTTTGACTCATGAAAGTGTTACTGATTATAAGATTTATGGTTCCATTTTTATAAAAGTCAAAGTGAAATTTAAAAAAGCAAGAAAAGAATTGAAATGGAAACATTCTGTAATAAATGTGGCAGATAAAAGCTTAACAATCCAGAATACTGTTTAATAAAAAGAGTTTTATTTTGGCTTGTCTGATAGCAAGGAACAGAGACATAGTTCAGCTAGCCCAAGAAAAAGGATACCTTTTAAGGGATATACATGAACTGGATCTGAACTGGAGAGTTGCTGAAGAAGGTAGCTTAAGGGGTTAACTCTTTGGTTTTTCTGTCATAGGCCAAACGGTTATTCTCTGCTGGGACTTGTGCTTCCTTCAGCACATCTGCTATGTCTTCACCCATCTTTCTCTACTAACCCTAGTTTCTGGTCCCTCATAATTTCAGCTTCTCATGGCTTCTGTGACTCCAAATATATCCTGACATCTCTTGGTTCAGCCTTTTTGACTTTTGCTCCTTCTTTTAAGTGTTTCAACACTGAATATTTTCAAATTCAGATGCTCAGGAGAGGAATGTGATTGGCTTCGCTCAACTTTTTGGCCCAGGCTGTACACTGTAGGTTGATGGCCAGTATGTACATAAGTTTCTTTTGGGTCTGAAATGGCCCATCACCTGTGGTCAGAGAGCAGGAATCCCATAGTACAAAACATCAGCAGGTGCTGTGAGCAGAGCAGGCATTGAATGTTTACGTGTCCAATAAAGAGAATGGACTTTTAGAACCACATGGAGCCAGGTTCAAATCCCAGATGTACTATTTGCTAGCTATGTGACACTGGTCACTTGCCTAATCTGTCTGAACCTTGGTTTTCTCATTTATAACTTGGAAATAATAACTGCCTTACAGGGTTTTGTAAAAAATAAACAATATATGTAAAGCATGGTATAGTATCTAGTACCCAGTAGGTCTTAATTGATGGTAGCTATTTAATTTTTATTATATTAACAGATTAATAATGATGTCAAGAAAAATAATCAGTCTCCATGGCAAAGGTTAAGAGGCAGCTCACACAAGAGGAAAACCAAATAGTTAGCTGACACTGAAGGAAATATATAGCCTCACAGAGAATTTAAAATGCATTTTAAGATAGCTATGAGATATATATATCATCTGTTAAGCCTGCTAAAATACATTAAAATTATACATTCCAGTGTTAATGTGGCAGTGAAGAAAGAGTACATTCATATTTGATAGATGGCATTGTAGATTAGCCTAATTAATCCAAATAGCAACCTCATAAAACATACCCTTTAATTCATAGTCCATCTCTGGGGAAATATTTCCCAAGTTGGTAATTGAAAAGGAAAAAAAACTTGTATTTGTACAAAATATTTACAGCTCTCTTATTAATTCAGAGGCTTTCATCAGTTTAGAACTGAAAGAGACCTAAAAAAAGAGACTGTTTTTTCTCCTGGGCTACATGTTAGGATCACTTAGGAGCCTTTAAAAACACTCATGCCCCAAGATTCAAGATGGCTGTGTGAGAGGTGAGACAGAGAACTCCTCCCAAAACCACAGATAGTGTGAAAATATAATTAATACAACTAACCCTAAAAGTGCAACAGGAAAGAAGGCTGAACCAGACTACATACAGACCTTACAAACAGAGCAGACCTCACGAAACAGGGTAACGTACCAAAGCCTTGACTGGCAGGACCCAAGCCCTTCCCCCACCCCAGCTCCCTGGTGGGAGGAAGAGAAATGGAGCAGGGAGGGGGTGGAAGCCTGGGACTGCTGAGCACCTAGCCCTGGAGATCTCTTTGCAAGCAGAAACCTACATTGTGTGGTGCTCTGGAGGATGGGGAGCTGGGACAGGAGGAGTGCTTGAGAGACAGATTCTGGCCATTTGTGGAGAACGGGATTCACACCTGGCTGCTCTGGGACAAGGGAAAGGCAGGCGGTCTGAGAGGCTTCCTAGCAGTGAGAGGGCTGCTGAAGGGGCGGGGTTTGCACGGAGCTTGCTGCAGGGGAGAATGGATAGGCGGACAAGGTTGTCTGGACACACTCTGCCCAGCAGATTGGGAACTTTGAGGAGCTTCAGGCACTCCATCACTCTGGCTGGCTACTCAGCTCAGAGGCCTCCCACTGTGACTCGCAGCTTACCGAGCCTTCTTCCTAGTCTGATGGCACCAGCTCGCAAACGGGTGGTCACTGCACTGCCGTGAGGCCAGCCAGAGGAAGGCCCTGCCTACAACAGCTAGAGACGCGAAGCACAGAGCCTTACACCTGTGTGTCCAGCCCACTGGCTCTGATACTGGAGACAGGGTTTGCAGACGGGAATCAGGAAATAGATCTTTCCTCACCCCAGGCACCAGCTCTGCTCCCGTATGACCCCAAGCCTCACTCTAGTGACTGAATAGCTCCAAACACTGGAGCTTCTGGGCACTACAGGGTACCACACAGAAATATGAAATGTCAAACGAGCATGGTTCAGAACAAATTCTCACAAACCTGAGAGAAAGGGCCAATGAAACTGAACTCACCAATCTTCCCGAAAGAGAGTTCAAAATAAAAATCATAAACATGATTATGGAGGTACAGAAAAATATTCAAGAACTCAGGAACGAATTTAACATGGAGATTCAATCATTAAGAAATTCCATATCTGAAATGAAACATATAATGGAGGGATTTAAAAGCAGATTAGATGTAGTAGAGGAGACAGTAAATGCAATAGAAATTAGAGAAGAGGAATACAAAGAAGCTGAGGCACAGAGAGAAAAAACAATCTCTAAGAATTAAAGAATATTGAAAAAACTGTCCAAACAGAACAATATTCACATTATAGGGTTACTAGAAGAAGAGAGATAAAAAGGGATAGAAAGTATAATTGAGAAGGTAATTGCTGAAAACTTCCCCAATCTGGGGAAGGAGATAGTTGCACAGACCATGGAGGTGCACAGATCTCCCAACACAAGGAACCCAAGAAAGACATCAAGACATATAATAATTAAAATGGCAAAAATCAAGGATACAGACAGACTTTTAAAAGCAGCTAGAGAGAGAAAAAATATCACATACAAAGGAAAATCCATCAGGCTGTCATCAGATTTCTCAACAGAAACCTTACAGGCCAGAGACAGTGGCATGATATATTTAATTCAATAAAGCAGAAGGGCCTTGAACCAAGAATACTCTACTCGGCAAGGTTGTTATTTAAATTTGAAAGAGGGATTGAACAATTTTCAGATACGCAAAAGCTGAGAGGATTTACCTCCCACACACCACCTCTACAGTGCATTTTGGAGGGACTCCTATAGATGGAAGTATTCCTAAGGCTAAATAGATGTCACCCAAGGGATAGACAAAGAGTACACAATATGACTCATAACATACGAAGAATGGAGGAGGAAGAAAAAGAAAGAAAAAAAATATTTAGGTTGTGTTTGTATAGCATATGAAGTGAGTTAAAGTAGACTGTTGGATAGTAAGGGAATTAATTACCCTTGAACCTTTGGTAACCATGAATCTA